AGAAAAGAAAATGATAAAAAAATGAAAATGATAAAAGAAAAAAGAAGAGAGATAGAGAGAGAGAGAGAATGTTAGATAAAATGAATTAAAAAAAAGAGAAGAAGAAAAAGAAAAAGACCAAAAGAAAAATAAAAGAAATGCGAGGTAAAAATTAACAAAATCTCCTATCTAATAGGGATCGATGTTAACTCAAAACAATCACATTCTAGTAATTAGGTCGTTTTTTGATATATCGATTATTTCGAGACTTAAACTCGGATTCGATGTTGAATGATGAGACGTTCGATGATTGGTTCAATATGATGTCACCAAAAAAAAAAAAAATTTGGCTTAGAACATAAAACTTGAAATTTTGACTTAGGATCAATTTTGACAAAAATAAAAGCTGTTAGAAAATAAACTTTAAAACTAAACCGGACGTGGTATCTTTTTTAAAAAATGATGCTTTTGTGTGATTAATATATTCGTAAAAGTATAACCAACTCTTTACTTTAAAACCTCCGAATCGAGTAACTATTTTAGGTTCCTAGTTAACTTTAATACTAGATGACGATTGCGAAATTAAGAATAACTTATATCTTCAAACGAACAAATTTTTCAACAAAACAAACAATTAAAAAAAAAACCGAGGAGTCTCGTGATCGTCGGGTAGGGACGAGATATGATGATACCTTATTAACTCGTAATATAAAAAAATTACTAAAATATTTTTTTACTATATAAATTCACTCACAATGAATATTTTTAATAATGTAAATGCAAAAATATTTTGAAGCGTATTTTTAACTAAAAATCCTCTTCTTCTTTTTCAACTACTTCAGAAGTTTCATCATTTCAAAATCTCTAGGGCTTGAAAAATTAAGAACAGCACCGCAACAGCAACAACAAACCTCCCGACACACTATAAATTGGAATTATTGACAAGCTTGGCCAAACCCTTTTCTAATAGTAACCTGCATTATGTGTATCACTATCTTTTTGCTTCACCATTTATTAGTAAACTGCAATTAATGGCTGCATACAGCTTGAAGTCAAATCATGTGTTCCACTGGCAATTTACCTAACTTAATATGAGTGCTTAGAGAGGGGGGGGGGGGGGGGGGGGGGGTAGGGAAGAGTAAAAATAACAATGATTTAACAAGGAGTGGTAATGGACTGTGGTCCACCATGATAATACTACTACTATTACAAAATAAAAATTGACAGAAAACTGCAAGAATCCAAAAGAAACGAACTCTAAATTAATCACATCTTTTTAGTTATAAATTTAAGCAGTCCATATGATCTGCCCATCAAGCTCAACTTAAGCATGCAATGAGCTAGCTCTTTAATGGTCCCTTGGGCAGCTACAGACACTTTTACAAGGTGGCTCTTGCACAACACCATAGGTTTCGAATCCCATTCATGCTTAAAAGGGTTTCAATCTTAGCTGTGCCCAAGTACGGCCTTCCTTTGCTTTGCAGATGATGGAGAATTTGATTGACTCAATGTGACTAGAATTGGAAATGGAAAAGAATATTTCCTCTTTTAAACCCCTTCTTTGCTGTCTTTTTTTGACTCCTAATTATTTTGGATTTAAAACATTATATGCTACAATGATATAGTATGATGATTTATTTGATTACCACGTTTTTTAGTCTTTAAAAAATATCAATTATTAAGTTACATTCATGTGATTGGCCTTTATACTTAGATTATTAATTGTCTCAAGCGAACAACATATATTTGTTGCTAATCACTTTTGTTCTTTACACGTAGGAGAAGTTGCTTTTAGACGAGCATTTTGTGTTTAGGGCATTCTGGTTAGCAGCAAAAATGGTGCTAATTATGAGACTATAAATGGCTAAGTGCCTATTTTGGTTGGTCATGGGCGCTAATAAAATAAAAAAGTTTGTCATACGTCTAATCATTTATACTTACTTTTCTATCTTTCTTTCTCCATTTCTATTGGGTCTCTCCACTTCAATTATATGGGTTTTGCAAAATGCACAATGATGATGGTCATGCTAATGTCTCCTTTTCCCCCACAATAGTCCCTAATTATTAATTTTGATCTGACCAATTTCAATTAATTTTGCAACCTCGTCAGTGTAGCCTCATCATAACCAATTGTAGGGGGGCGGTTTGCTTTCACATAGCTGCCAATAGGAATTGAATGAACTCAATTACTCAAACATTCTGCATCTATAGATTGATTGTCGACTGGTTGCGTACGTGGGGACCTTTTTATAATCAGAAAATTTCAATCACCGTTAAAAAAGCAGCCTTGGATCGTCCCATATAATGCAATGTTTCTTACTTACAATAATGGGTAGATCTCATATTTGTCTCCCAACTATATATAGTTTCTTGTTGAGTCATCCTACTACTAACTCTATCAATTGGGTCACCCATTCATTTACCTTTCCTCACTCAATTTTTTTTTTTTATTTTATTTTATGAGAGTTGGAGTCGTGTATTTTCTAATTCATTCTAATGTTTTATCAAGTTTTAGATGGGACAATATTCAATTATGCCTTATTTGTTCGAAACTTGTCTTAAATTGAGTGCAATAGTTGGGTATTTTTGTGAAGAAGAGTTGGGAAAATTAGGATTAGTTAGAAAATGCATGATTAAATGTACAATATTTAATTATGTCGCCAATTATTTTAACATAAGGGTCTGGTTGAAGAAAGGTATAGAGATGGGGAATCCAATTGCGAAATCGATAGAACTCGATTGAAAAAATTATATAGTTAGAGGATTAATTTAAGGTTTTCCCTGCAATAATAATGCATTGAGGATTAAGTTTTCAAGTAATGTTTATAATAGTTTGTCTCCTTTTAAGTTAAGTGGGCGAAGGATATAAATGTGTAGTATGCTTGTTGGAATGTAATATCTCATATTTTAGAATTAACTTATTTAATTTAGTGCACATAAATCAATATCAATATTTACAATAAAAAAATAAATATCTATATTGGTATGATCAATATATATATAGTAGTAAAAAAACAAAATGAATTAACAAAGAATTCTTGGTAAGAACCAAGAATATTTTGCAAAGCATCAAGAATTAATACCATTCTATAACTTCTAGTTTTAGGTAGTGCATTTTTTTTTAAGTTATAACACAACAACAAAAAATGAGCAAATGTCGAGTCAACATGTTTTGAGAGGTATCTTAAATTATTTAAAAGTTCATTGTAGTATAATAACAATAGTTTTTTTTTTGGTAGTAAATAAAAAGACTACATACCCAAAAAAGAAAACAAAACTATAAATCATAAAGACATGAAAGAGCAAACCATATGACATCTTGATACAAAAGATCAGTAATCTTTAATGATGAGGAATCAAAATAGTATAATAGTAGTTAGATTATATTTCATATACACTTTAGAACAACTAAGCATTTTTCTAAAAATAAATAAATAAATGATATTTTCATATGGATAATTGCTTGTATTACTCATTTATCTTTAATCAAATGTTGAAATCTTTATCATAATTTTTTTCTATGTCCTTGCCAATGCAATGTATTTAGGCTGTTGCGATTATCGATTTTGTTGTGATTTGATAGTGAGTTCAAATGGTTGTTGAGAAAAGATTTGTTTCGTTGATTAAGTATGTTATCAATAAGAATGATATTAGACTTGATTCGCGGTAAAACCTTGTTTTCAAGAAAATATTTAAATGTGCATGGATGAGTGGTTATGATATTACAAATTTTGATTAACATAATAAAAAATTTTGCTAGAAAAAAAAAAGAAGTATTTTTTGAATGAAAAGATACAAGATAACTCGGTACTTCAATAACGGAAAAATCATGGAGAAACTAATTTAAAAATACAAGACTAAATACTTGACTTTTGAAACTAAAAACAATTAATTAATTAATAATATATTTTTTTCTTAATTAAAAGACAAGAGGTTAACTCATATATGTTTGTATGTCCCTTGGTCCATAATTTCAGAATTTGAAATTAGGTTGGTGTTTATCCATGTTAGGACCACCACCTTTTGCCTCTTTTATAAATACAACAGATAGAAAAGAACAATGCACCATCCAATTATAGCAACAAACCATGACAGTACTGATCACATAGATTAGAACATGGAATCAACTATCAAGCAATTTTGACACCAATCACCATTTAACCATTTCCCCAATAAAGGGTCATCAACTTCACAAAATACTTAATAATCTCAAGTTGAAGACAAATATATTAAACAATCCAAAGAAAAACGAACAATTTGGTAGATAAAAAGCATACTTCCATTGAATATTGACAGAACTAAACCATACATTGTACTTACTTTCCTAGCTACTTCTTTAATCTGTCTAAAACTTCTTCTTTTTTGGTGCAATTAAGCTGTCTGTCTAGAACTAACCGTTTGCAATGTTTTTACATATCTGTCTTTTGGATTTATTACTTTGTTTAATTTGTTGGATTGATGGAATTTACTTTTACATGCATGTTTTTGGAGCTAGGGGCGTGCTTTGATGCTTATACTTCAATATTAGTACGAAAGATACCAAATTTAACCAACCAAAGTTTAAGCATATGCGGTCTGCAGTTGTGAAACAGTGCTAGAAATTTCAACTTAATAATTAATGCTATTTGGTGTGAATATTAATTTTAACATGGAGGGTACACACACTACTAGTGTTTGATTGTCCAATGGAATGCCGATTTCTCTGAGAATACCACTCTCCTTGCCTTGTGGGAGAGGAAAATTAATAATTTAATGCAAACATTAGTTTATAATATCTCATTACATAATTAATGAAACTCTGCTGAACTCAGTTTTTTGTCATATTCATCTTTCTTTCTTTGATATTGTCCATTAATTTGACATGATCACTATACTTTTGATTTTGAATATTTACGATCGAGGCTTGGAATTTTCTGCTGGGATAATGTTTTTTTTCCCTCCCTGCGATAATGCCAAGATCAGATTACGATAACGTTAAAACTAAGTACGGCTCAATATTCAAAAGGAACTGTGGAAATGGTTTACCTATAAGTGGCCATCACATGGCTAGTAGCCCTTGATACCTTAGCCATCTTCTCAATCTTATTTAATTTTGTGTTGAAAGATGAGCAGGTATTCACTAGTGAGGTTACAGGGCAGCCGAAATTTTTTTGAGAGTTTGAATTTGAACATCATCTAAGGCAAGGTAGAAGTTAAGCAAGTCTTGAGGTGTTAATTTAGATGATAATTTCAAGTCATTATTTCGGAGTTGAATTCAAGAAAAGATTACAAGAAATAAAATTCTCTCATAAATGCACCAATTTCAATATAAATAATCTTACTAAGACACATTCAATTTTTTTTAATATAAAATTGACGAGTATACTATATTATAGGTAGAAACTAATAAGGTGCTAGTAGAAAAAGTTACAACCAAACTAAAGTTATTAGATTTATGTAGATTAAACTTGGTTAGAGAGTTAGCTACAAATTTTTTTTTTTTTTTTAATGAATATGAGAGGGAAAAAAAATACATATTTTAAACACAAAATCAAATTAAAAATACTTTAAAGTTTTCAAAGTCTATTAATCGAAGAACTTTTCATTCAATCACTAGCAATAACCGAATCTGACTTTATAATTGATTGAACTTGAAGAGTTAATGGAAAAGCAACAGCAACAGTAATTTTCAAGACTTTGAATCGTCAACATTTTCACTTCATTAGGATCTTTGATTCCTGTAATAACTGAAAAAATACATAACATTTTCTCATAATGATCTCGCAAAACAAAATCAAAAGTTTTAATACGTGAAAAATATTTAAAAAATATCATAAAAATCAAAACAGAGAAAGTAAAGTAACCCTATTCCATCAACAGAAACCAACATTAATTGAATTTAGTCCACATGTGTTAGTAGAACATACCACTTCCTTGTTTTAACCCTAAGGTTTCTTCTTACTTCCACTGAATGTGTGTATATGTGTCAATGTAGGCATCGTTACGTACACATGATGATTAGGAATATGGACTACTTTTTTTTTTAATTCATAGAGTACCATTTAGTGTGCCATGTATCAGTAAGATGAAATTATTTTCAGAGTTCAGACCCAAAAAAAAAAAAAAAATGGTAATGGGGACCAACCAATTCTCCAATGCCTTTCTTCCACTTTCCTGTCACCTCTAATCCTGTGATTAGTGGGTTATCACTTTTATGTTCTAAAAAGAAATACTAGGTTATTCCTTTTTGTTTTTGTTTTTGTTTTTTTTTTTTTTTGAATTTTTTTATCTTAGGCTATAGTAGGCCCTGTTATCTACTCATGTTATGACAAATAGCACTTTTCCTTTTGTCAACCCTAAGGGCTGCTGCCTTGAATTCTCACAGCAACACCTGTACATGTCAAAAATTGGGTAGCAAACAACTGCTGGTTAGTTATGCTTGAGTTGAGTGTTCCGTGATTCGAATCCTTTATTTCTTGGAGGAATATGTGGAGTTTGTCCAACACATATTAATGATAGCTGTAGCTTCTTCACTTAACAACAAAATTTTTCAGATTGGAACTTGTTTTTATAAGTTTTTTAGTGACTTGTCGTTAGGGGATGAATGAATGATGAATTCTATAAGTTATCCCAACCACTAAACAAGAAATAAAATATACATTGAGAGAGTTGATTAGTGGAGAATCATTTTATTCTCTGTCTAATCTAATTGCTCACTAATTAACAATATCATTGACTAACAATCACAAAGGCATGCAAAGTACCTATAAGAAAAAGAAAAAGAAAAAGAATGAATTTTTGTGCGATCTTTCTGCCCAACATCCCAAACTCCAAGGATGAATTTAGTGGGCTCAGCTTTCAGTTTTATGAATTTTTGTACGATCTTTCAGCCCAACATCCCAAACTCCTAGGATGAATTTAGTGGGCTCAGCTTTCAGTTTTATGAATTTTTGTACGATCTTTCAGCCCAACATCCCAAACTCCTAGGATGAGTTTAGTGGGCTCGGTTTTCAGTTTTCTTCTTCTTTTTCGTTTTTCTGTGAAATAATAATAATAATAATAATAATATTCCTAGTAGCTCAGGTACAAAACATGTTATTCACAGAAGTTCTGCCGGCCTAAACACAACCAGCACAGCCATGGATCCCTTTAGTCCGATAATGCTGCTTCTTCAGCTAGACCTGACCCACGATTTGCTGCTAAAAGTGATTATGAGCTTAATATCTAAACCTATTGGGCCAAAACTTAACCCAATCAGCTTATATTACAACAGGTGCTGTGCCAAGATCCATCTCTTTCTTCTTTTGGGCCCCCTCTCAAGAGATGCACTTCCTTCGATGATGCAAATTTTATTGCAAATTGACGTGACAGACAGTAACTCTTTTCATTCTTCACCAATCATGCAATATTGTTTAAACCTACATTTTGCCACTAATGACTTATCAATCAACGCATCAGTTTAGATGAAAATTTAGGAAGCATAGCATTTTCCTGATGAAAATACAATGCTGTGTAACCAAAGACTTAATTGCTACGGGAGATTAATGAGTGCAAGCAGCCTATGGTAATGAATGCATGCGTGCAAGGATTCTTTGTTTTGGCAGTCCATAAATTGTATAGAAGTATTTTCTACGCATAATACAGTTATCCGGCTATGCAACAACACATGCTCTTTAGTCTTTTCCGATAATCAAAGTAATTTGTTAGTTGTTCCACGACTATCAGCACTTTTCATCGCCTATTTGAGCTCTGCTGAGATTCCTGAAGGATTCCAATTTGTCACCAGTTACCACCAACTTCAATGTGGATTTTCGCTTTCCAAGTTATATGAGTTGAGAGAACGCACCACCACCTTGCAGCTATTTATGCACCACCTATTGAAACTTTTTAAGGTCCCTCATTCAACCTTTGCAACTCCTCCCGCAGGAATGCTGCTTTCAGCAACAGTCTCCCTTACAAACCTAGAAACAATTGCAGATGAAAGAATAAAGCTCCTAAGCCACCTTAAGTAGGCCATTGAGAAGTTCAGATGAAGGCAAATGAAGCTTTCAAATGATAAGGAGAAAAAAGAAAATATACCTAGCTAATTTATCCCGCGATGACTGCAAGATGTAGATTGAGAGAATAAAGGATAGCGTCAACCCTGTTTATATGTATATGTATAAATTAGGTATAGTTTGTGTAAATGTGCTCTTCCAATTTCAAAAAATAATAATAAAAAAAAATTAAAAATTAACCCCCGGAACTAATGGCAAGTAAAAAATAGGAAGCACAATCACAAAACATCTACTGACTGCAAACAAGCAAATAATTACCTGATCCAAACAAAATGTAGAATCCAGAACTCACATCTATGTCTGATTGTTCCTCCCTGTCATGCCACAAAAATAACACAACCCAAGTTGTTTGTGATCAGAAGCTATTCATAGCTTTTCCTAAATTACAAGAAACGATGAAATTATAAGGCACCACCATCTATCAGTCAGTTGAAACAGAGCAGGAAAGACTTTCTATTCTTTGCTCTCCAAATAGGATAATATCATTTAATATAAACTTTGGGATACATGATGCGCCGCTACTGAAAAACTATATCTTTGTACAAGTTTAAACGTCAACAAGCATGGGAAATGAAATTAAAATTGGATTTGTGAAACTAAATTTTTTGCCCATGTACGAGCAAATCCAGAAATGCAGATGAAACCAAAGCTCAAATTTTATTTTCCAGCTAACCTATCTGCCAGAAGAAGCAACAGTGGAAGTGTCAGCTAGGTTATACAGTGATTAATGAGCCAATGATGCATAACCAACGAGAAAAAAGGTGTGATAAACAGAAAATCACTAGTTGAATATAATTTGAGCTTTGGTTTAAACAAGGAATTTGGCCACGGCCAATCAATCCCAGTTTCCTCCCAGAAAGATTACAGAGCATATAAAAATGCTGAATAATGAAGATCAATATATGACTAGAAATATACTGGCCATCTAAAGTAAAGCAAAGACAAGTTGATACAAGGTTAATATATTAATTGAAGCTTCGTGTATGAATATTCTGTCACTTTAGATGCACGAGTATAATCTGCTCGCACAAACTCAAGTGTGCACACCAAATTCTGACATGATACTAGAAAGCAGGAAATGGTAGAAGCAGAAATGGTTCCTTTAATTCAAAGTATGTAAACTTACCATAATTGTTAGTCTAATGAAGTCAAAACGTTAAAAAAAAAAAATAGAATAAACCAAGTACAGGCCTATCAACCAATGGAGATAATAATAAAGAAGTTTACTTCCAGAGAACAGATACTAACCATGTGTATCTTACGAGAACGTGTTTAGGCCAAAGTTGGGCATCCCAGAATTGCTGATGAATATCTGGATGGATTTCAACATCTGTTCAAGACAAGAAAACCCATCAAGAAAGATCAGGACATTTTACAAGCTACCCAAACAAACAACTCTTGAGAGGGCTCTCGAAGATTTTAATCAAACAGTATGAAATAAGCATAACAAAGTACGGAAAGAGTAATTGTGGGATTAAGAAATTGAACACAAAGCTAGTTATCAATATAGCAAACAAAACTTGAACAGTAAATTAAAACTCCAAGCACAAACTGGACACCATACGGACAAAACATAAAATGTATGAACTGGGAAACATTCCAATGCATGACAAGTTGACATTTAATGCGATGCAGTGTCAGGGAAAACACTTCTTGCACCAAATCTAGGAATAACTTAAAATCTTTGTGGACTCCAACTGATATTCAAGATGGCTCGTATGAGCTGGGAAACATTTTCAATGCATGAGAAGTTAACATTTGATGCAAAACAGTGCTGCGAAAAAAGTTCTTACACAAAATCTAGAAATAACTTGAAAAGACAAACTTTCTGGACTGCAGAAATGATATTTCAAGATGGCTTGCAGGAAAAATGGGAAATAATGCAAGACCAATGAAACTGGGAGGAAATTAATTGTGGGTTAAAAGATGTTTAGTCATTTAAGATGAGAATCCATGCTGTACTAAATGTCACATGGTTTGTGTTGAGAAGCTGAAAAAAAAAAAACACAACTGAGAGCCATAAGTACTTTGCTCAGGAAAGAGACAATATAAATGGTCTATTATTGCACCTAGAAAAGCCCTGAATGACAATGCAGGCCATATACTAGATATATAGCCATACTATATAGAAAACAACAACAAAAATTCTTTCCGGAACTACCATCTCTTAGATGGCCAGCAAACTCAAACAGAAGAAGAAAGTAATTAAAACCATAGAACATACAGTGGTGAGGCATATCTATGACTTTAGCCGTAACACCATGCAGATCACTCCCTGAATACCTCTGCATCACACAAAAGCCAACAACCATCACTACTTAGCAGATACATTTCATAAAGCATAACATTCTGTGCAGTTGCAATGATAAGAAAAGGAAATAACAAATGTAATTCTTACTAAATGCACGTCAATCATCGGAACCTCAGAACTTTTACGATTTACAACAAAAAGCCATGGAATCAAAAACTTCTCTTTTCCAACTTGAAATGATCTGCATTAACCAAAAAAATCAAACATGGAATACTAAATCATATCACCTCAAATTTTCAGGAACAAAATCACATACCTACAATTTAACATTACAAAAAACAACCTAATCCAGCATCAAACCTTTAATACTAAATCACAACCCTTAATTAAAACATAGGGAACATTTCCACGGCACCAATTAGTTCCTCAAAAGCCACAATTACGAACTAAAATAATTCCCAAAGTTAAAAAAAAAAAAAAAAAAGTTACTCACATTTTATAGGGATCAGCGCCTGTGTAACCAGTTGGCTTTGCTATAGGAATCAATACCTACAAATAAATTAAATACCCAAATGAAAACCCATTAATCTTTTTAAAAATTAAAACCCATAAACCCTTTAATTAAAAATAAAAAACAATAATTTAATAAATTAGAGAGAGATAGTAAGGAACCTCGCGATTTACGGCAAAAATAGGACAGTGTTTACCGATCATGTCATGCCACACAGTTCTTGACTGAAACCATAAATAAATCAACAGAAACTTAAGAAAACAGTAACGATTAATAGAAAATTAAAAGCCGATTAAACAGGAATATGTTAAGAGAGAACGAACCGAGTGGTATTGGCCCCTTTTGCTCATGGGAACAATATCTCCAGGCCTGTAAGCAACACAAGTTGAAGGTAGTGAAATTAACACGAAGAAGACTGAAGCAATTCTTGCTTTTCTCTTAGCTTCCATCTTGCAATTTCTGAATTTCGCTGATTTTCTCTGCTTAAGGGGAAATGGAGTAAGACGAGAAGGCAAGCTCCTGTATTTTTCTTGTCTTGGTTGGGTTGCAATTTTGGGCCATTTTACATCATCTGCCCGAATTTTTGGGGTTTGTGGATTTGGACTTCGAATGGGTGGCCCTTTTAAATGGGCTGTTGGTGATAGTTAGATGAAAATAGGACAGGCAGAGAAGACAATTTAGTTCCGGAAAAAAAAACAACGAAAATTGTTAACTTTGACAGATGTAATTAACCTAATATTAGAGAAAATGTTACAAAATTTCAAATTATAATTATCTATATACATATTCATCGAAATCTGTAAAAAAAAACATAAAGAGAATATAAAAAGCGAGTCATTCATGATTTTATTAAATATGTCAAGTTATTTTTTATCCATTGTGTCGGATTGGAGGTTTAAGAGATATATAAGATTAATTGAAGAAAAAATGCTGAAAGAAATGTGAATTGTATCCATTGAAAGTATTTATTTGGTTTAATATTTTTTTCCTTCGGAGCTTTGGATTCGATATCCCCGGTTGCCCTAATTGTTAAATAAACGAATCAAGTAAAAAAATAAAAAAATAAAAACAATCTCATAATATAAAGATTTATGTAGTTCGATAATTATGTTTGCTTTGCGATTGCAATATGAGTTTTTATTAATAATTTTCAATAGTTGGTTATAAATATAAGAGATCATTATCCGTATAATATCTTAAATTATGAGTCATATTGATATCGGTCTCTATAATTTAATATAATTAAGGATGAATGCTTATCCAAATTTTTTTTTTTTTTAATGTGACTAATGCTAAGGGAGAAATTGAAACTAAACCTGGCATATTTGGTGTTTTTGGTAACCAATTGGTTTAATAATTCTCTGACATCGACATGACTCCAAAGTTTCAACAATGTCAGTGTACGACAGGTGTTAATGAATCATTTGAACTAAATCTAGTGCGAGGAAAAAACAATTGAGTTAGAGACCATTCGAACCCATAACTCAAGAACTAAGCAGGCCATGTCAACCATGGATTACTTTTTAGGAGTCAGATGACAACTTAGTTTCTCTTAAACTTTGTTATCAATTTTGAAGGTAAGGAAGCCAATCGTGGGAGATTACAGCATTACAAGTACTCGTCCTTCTTATAATGAACACGTAAATTGTCTCTCTCTATTCTTCTGAATCTGCCACTCATCTATTTTTAACTAAATCAATGGTGCTCAACGGAATCAATACCCTTTTGAAAATAATTGTTGAAGAAAGTAATGAGAACCATTCCATTTTGAAAAAAAAAAAAAAAAAAAAAACTTTGCTCTGAAATTTATTAACATTATGTGATCCATGTTATGAGAATGAAAACCAGTTAATGTCAACACCAATCCCATTTTTTTAATAAAATAAAAATCCCAACTTTTGTACAAAAATTAATAACATTATTTCATCCATGTTATAAGAATAGAAACCAATCCTCAATCGACTTGTAATGTCAACCCTCAGACGTATAAAAACCAGAGGATATGACAAATTATATGGTGTCATGTAATGACTCAAGTCATTTGAAAAATAATTAAAGCTTTTGGACGATGAAAGGATAAGAATAAAAATAGGTGGTGGGGCTTCCTAAAGAAGAAATAAATAAATAAATATTTTATATCAAATTGGGAAAATTGAAAAGGAGAGTTTGTAATTTTGTCAACGCAATGCTGAGTAACTTGTAGAGGCAAACACTATTTCGACATGGGCCAATCCATATCTATGATGAAAATGGAGGATTTTTATTCCTAATTAAAGTGATATATGGCTTTTATTATATATATATATATATATTATTAGTTTTGTTAGGAGATATTAACAAATAAAGATAATTATTTCTTCAAACTTATTTTTTCTTCTTTTTCGTATGAAAGTTTTGTTTTTGTTTTTTGTTTTTTTTTAAAGCTTCGGTAAAAAAAACTACATGTCACTCAATAGAAACTTTTAAAATATATATATATATATATATATATATATATATATATATATATATATATATATATATATATATATATATATATAAACCAACTTTTAATTTTATTTTATTGCCAAAAGAAATTTCTTGATAATATATTAAGTTTTCAATAAATATTTAAATGCCTTTCAAAAATAAGTAAATAAACTCGAAACATATAAAATGCAATTAATCCCACCATAAAAAAGCCATTATTTTAAAAATAGGTAAATATGGTTAATTATCATTAAAAAAAAATTATCTTTGGATAAAAAAATAAACTAGAGGTGGAATACTACAAAGAAAAAAAAATCCTAATAAAAAAAAGTTTTTTAACTGGAACATATTTTGTTAAACCACTCATAAGAACCATGTTAAAAGCCAACAATAACTTTCGTTGTCTATGAGGATTTTATAATTGAGAATCTCTATTCTTGTAGTGACAGATTTTTTATATCATACCCTCTCGTTGTTGGGTTTCCCTCCTAATTAGAGAATGATAAAAAATTTTACCTACATGAACTAAATTTTAGAGCCCATATGGAGAAGGATTTTTTAATCACTTGAAGAGTAATCTAGGATAATTTGGATATTTTTCAAATTAATCCTCTTTTCTATTTAATTCTAAGATCAGATTAGGGAAGAAAGTAGAGAGAGAAAAAGAAGAAAAAAAAAAGGAGAGAGTCACAACTTTAGAAAGAAAGAAGAAAGAAAGTTTCAATACAAACTAGTCACAAAAAAAATTGAGTTTTTTTAGTTTGTTAACCGTTGGATCGAGCTCAAATTTGATGGGCACGTTCAGAAGAGATAGACACACATTTTGAATGGTGAAGATCTAGTTTTGAGTCATGAAGAGTGAGATATAATGCTCGTAACAGTGCTATTTTCCGATAAAATCTGAATTTGGATTCTTTTCTTTTCTTTGTATATCATCTATTAATAAGGTTTCTCAAGGGTCATTATAAGAAAATGAAGATTTAGTGACGGTCTAGACCATTGCTAATTCTTAAAAAATCGTTGCTAAATAAAATTAACGATGGTTTTGCAATGATTTTAAACCGTTTGCAAAATGTTTGTTACTAATTTTTAACAATGGTTTTTTAATTATGTTGCTAATTTAGCTACGGAAAAAACCGTCACTAATTTTTTAGAAAAACCATAGCTAATCTTGGAAAAATTAGCAATGGTTTTTCAAATTGGTTGTTGACATTTTTTATTTAGCGATGGTTAACATCGTTGCTATTTTTTTTTCATTTTTTTTTTTTTGCTTGAATTTTAATGGTTTTAAATTAACCTACTTCGGTTTAAAAACTAAAAATAACCTTATACATAAGATATTAAAAAATTTAAAAATTATTATAATATATAAAATTAAATATAAATTAAAATATTTAATTATGAATAAAATTTAAAGTTTATTATTATTACATGAAAAAAAAACGTAAAAGCAATGAACGATCAATAGGATCATTAGTCGAAGGTTAGGTGAAATCGTCAATTGGAAGCTTAATGGATGAACTGTCTTGTTACATATTCAGCAATATCTCGTTGCATTTGCCTCATCATCACATGTTGCTCTCGAGTGTACCCTTTCAACTCATTTTTAGTAGCTAAAAGCGTTATAAGAGAACCCTCTAAATGCTTGATCCGTTCGCATGTCTAGAAGTATGATTCTCCAATTCTTTTTGTTTTGCCTCATTATTGACAAGGAATCGTAAAGTGACCGAATTAGAGGTTGTACTCATATTACAATAATAGTAAGAGGTCCGTGACCCAAGTCCGTACATCTTTTTCCTCTTACTATCTCCTCCTCCAATAACCTTCTTAAAACCTCTTTCATGTTGATATCGACTAATGAAGTACCCTATGTCCGTCTACTATCAATCTCCTCCTCAATTGTTCTTTCAATTCAACGATCCGTATATAAGTGACATACATATGAAATAACCTTATAAATTAATAACTTACTCCAAGAATTCTTGCTCGTTGATCAATAAAGACATAATGATCATCAACCTTCTTCCTATGAGTCATCAAGAAAATCTCATGAGCATCGGGTTTACGACCCAACTCATCATGCTTGAAACAAATATACTTAAATATAAGAAATATACTTAAATGTTTAATTAATTATATTGAAATCATTATAAAAACCATATATATATTATCATGCATATTAGGTTTTCTTTATAGCTGATTGAACCCCCTGTATGCCTAAATGGATCAACTTCGACACCACTAGCCTCGCTCTTGCGGTTTCGGGCCGCCATCTCGGATCGAGTAACAAACTCGGGCTTTGCTTATCCTTTATACCATGCATCCCATATCTTTTGTAACATATATGTTGTCTTGGGGTTTTTCTTAATGTGAAAAAGGAAGTCGGAATATCGCCTCAATACCGGACTCTGCCTTTCTTTCTTAATGTTTTTTCTCGATATTCTTCTCCTATGTAAATGACTTCTTCAAGAAAGTTAATAATATTCATTAGTATATTTAATTGAACATTAATATTTCTTTATTTAAATATGAAGTTATGTAATAAATTAATTAAAAAAAATACTACCTTAAACTCTTGCCAATAAAAATATTTTGTTTTCGGACTCATTGTCTTCCACGTCTATTTGGATATATCAACATACTCATGGAATATCTTAAAAATACAACGAGCACAAATATCGAAATATGCACCCAATGAAACAAACATTAAATAACATTTAAATGAATGCATAATTATAGTAATACATAAAAAAAAAATCATAAAATTATGCATAAAACATACTCCTTACGACCAACGATAATGATCATAATCCGAGGATCGATTGTGGATCCGATAGGTTCATAATCTAATGCGGGAGGGACATTCCACGATGAGCCATGTTCGGGAACATGATGGTCTTCCTATTGGATCGAGGGCACCGATGACGACAAAGGATAAGATGGGCGAGGACGTTGAGGTCCAAAATAAAGCGGCTCGAGC